CACCTTGAATGAAACCATAATCCTAGCCACTTGACCATGGAGATTATTCCTTCGGATATAACTACCTTTTATCAAAGTATCCTTTCTGATTAGTTTGTGGGGCTACGTTGTTTGCAAAAAGCATCTACATGATGTAGTTGAAAAAAAAAAAAGATTATTTAAATCAAACATACCACACGTTTTGCATGTAAATTTTTTAAAAAAGAAAACACGACACATGTAAATTACCTATTGATATCAGTTAAGATTATATCTACACTAAAACCCCAACAATTTGCTGATATAATTGGATAATTATAGGAGTATATATATCAATTAAATTATATATTAATTGTTAGGATAGTCAATATTCATACAAAATATTTAAGCGGTAATCATGACAAGTGTACATTTTTTCGTGATAAGAGAGTAAATAGACATGAATCCGTACTAAATATTATAACTGGGGAATTGTGTTTCTTCGCTTGCCCTTTCTTTATTTTAGTTCAGTATAATTTATTTGTAGTCAAACCTTCCGTAGAATCACTTTTTACTATAAAAATAAATCTACTTACTTATTTCAACCTTTGCTAATCTCGAGTAATAGACTAAGTATTCCCTAATAGACTAATAAATATTATATTACGAGTAACTACAAGAAATAAAAAAATTAAAAGTATTTTTAAAGTGTAGGATACATTTCTTAGCTATAATTTTATGATTTGGAAGCTAAAAGTATCTCCTATATAATTTCAGTTTTTAATATTAACTAAATGGTAAAATACGCTTTTCGTTTGAGTAAAAGTTTAAGATTTCGTAGCGGCGCAATGTACGGTATATACACAATGGAGTTGAGATCTTTCATCAGCGGTAGGACCGGACTCGGGGCGTACATAATGATATATAGGAGGCCGTCGCCCGCGCCACTCACCATACTCCTTTTATTACAAAACGGGTTCCAGGAGCCTTATAAAATTGCAATATTTTAATAAGAAACCACCGCTGAATATCAATTAATTTAAATAAAAATAAAAACGTCAACGAATTGATTAATAGATCATGAATTATTCAATTCCTTCATCTAATTAACTGGAGGCCTGGAGATGTTAATGTCTACTCCCGTGATATTGTAATAAGCGTGATTATGTTAAAATTAAGTGGTGGGGTTACTGGAATATGGTATTATATGGATGTTTCCAAACTACTGTGAAACAGGTTGGAAGATGAAAAATTACTGACTAGTTTTTGTTGACAAAAACAACAAATAGAATGACAGTCCAATTAAATTGATGTACGATAGTGATTATTGTTTAAATTAGAATAAATTTATTTGCAAGATACTTATTAACGTGTTTGTTTAAAGGTAAGAAGATATAAAAACTAATGATAAGTGTAACTACAACGACGTCCAAATGCGAATGTTATGCGAATTATTGGCGAATTCAGTGTTTTTTTTTTATCAGTAAACATCTGCCTTAGTGATGTTTTAATTAAGTGAAGCACATACCATAGGGATGTGTGTTATTCGTAATTGCAAACATCGGTTTAAAACCAACATTTTCTATTTTAAATACAACAAAATAATGAGTTATTTCCTAACTTGCACGTTTAATTGGAAGCTTCTTTCAGACTTTCTTATTTGAATATAAGTAAATAATACTTGTTTGAGTTTATGACTGCTTTTTTCATAGACTCTTTCTATTGGTTATTTGACTGTACCTACTCTGTAATTTTTACATGTTGAGAAATATAGCCGCGTGCCAGTAACAAATTCTTTGGTTTTTTTTTTAATTAAGAATTAATATCATAGAAACGTTATATGGTATTCTTTCATCATTTTCTAAAACAATTGTATTAATATTAATGAGTTGCTATCTACATAATTATTACAAGCCCGCTCTTAGTATTCACCGGCAGTAATTTACAGTCTTATTTTGGAAATAACATTTTGTTGTTATAATAAATATATACATTTTCAAGGCTCTTTCATTTACTTAATGGCATAAATATTAAATCTTATGTTTTTAATAAACGATGTATAACGTGGGAGTAATTATTTTCCGGGATAACACTTAGAATTAGATAAAATTCGTATTGTTGAATAGAGACTAAGCAAATCTACTACCATCTTGTAGGATTATTGTACTCGTAGCTTAAACTTTATATAGTATGTCTATAATAATATTAATTTTTATTAATACTAAGCGCTATCTTAGCGCAAATTTACTCCGCCGCTACATCTTGTTTATTAATAAGACAAGGCTACAGTATTTTATGACATATATTTTTTCTACGCTAAATCATGTTGCTAATATTATAGCTCTTTCTTATATTCCCTTTTTATAAAATAGCTTCGGTAGTTGTATAAATAAAAGGCTCGATAGAAGACAATGAAGAGAATAGCCTCATAAAATTACTAATTTTTCTTTATCTCAAAACTTTATTTCGACCGACTTAAATAAGAATGTGTAAAATATGCCAAATATATCACATACCTCTTTATTCTCAAGTGATTATAACCAAAATAACTTTACTTACTTTTTTCCCTTAAATCCTCTTTCAGTTCAGACTAATAATATTGAGAAATTATAATAAACCTTATTGTCAAATTATACGCTTGCCAACAAAGTAAAAATTAATATTAACTAATAAATAGTATTATCTCAATATATATTACAAAACTGTAATATACAGTGTAAGTTTGTTATTACGTCGGAGGCCATCGGTTCAGAAGTCCAATATTCAATTGAGAGATTGACTCATCACATAAACTTTTAGACAACATATTTATATGTTAAGCAATAAAAATTGTAGTGGTTGTGGACATTAGTCATTAATCAAACTGTTTTTTTATTTATTTTTATTAATAACTTTTGGTTATGATGTGTTAATTCGAAAGAACACCATTGCCTTAATAATAATTTAATGTAATAATGTTCCAGAAGATCGATACCTCATTTAAATGAAGTCGTACGAAATTTCGAAGCCGATACGCTCATATTGGGCGAACCAATAATTTTTCGTATCGGCTAAATAATTATTTCTTATCCTCGCATTGGCAGGTCCGGCCTCACTAAAACATGGCTGTCGTGTAGGGTCAACAAAGAAATGTTTCCAAGCTATTTGTTCAATTATATATCTGTGTTTTTGTATGACAATTAAAATAAAATACTTGCTTTAAATTAAGAGTGTTTATGGATACTTAATTTACATTTAATATTCTTTCAACATTTGACTCTTTATTTAGGTACTATTTTTTATAAAATGTTATTAAAAAAGTACCTATGACTGTTTTTGATACAATAAGTAACCTTAAATTGTCCTAATATTTAAAAATTATTGATAATTCGTATTTTCGTGAGTTTATCATAGCCATCAATCATAATTAGCAAGTTAAAGCAGATTTTTTGATTTTTATATAAACACAATCTAGATCCTTTTGAATGCGACTATTGCGAACTTAATGTACCAATTAAAAAATATAACAATTATAACTACGAGTATCAATTATATTCAACCTATCAATTAAACATTTTAATTAATATAACTAAAATTAAAAAAGTCAACTTCGAGTGATAGCACTTTTTTAAACTGTCATCTTTTACCATATCGATTTTTCGTCTCTCCTTCGTAAGTAATAATTAACAACTGGGAACCAACTCTATTTAACTTTATCTCAGTGCTTTTTACATAAGTTACAGGAATAACTAATCCGAATAGTTAGAAAAGTATTCGAGGAATGTTTTCGAGTTGACCTTACATCGTGCTACGGAATTCAGTTTTTAACAGAGATTTCAGGGTTCAGTTGCCTTTTCAAACGACAGAGATGAAACTAACTAATTTATTCCAATTAATAGTTTTTAGCGGCTGCAAACTCAAGGAAGTCAATTTGTGCAAGCTTATGAAATTTTCAGAAAATATTTTAGTGAGCTTACTTTATATTTATGAGAGAATGCTAGATAAAAGAAATCTTACATATTACTTATATACGAGCAACCATCTTTGTAGACAGGTGAAAATTATCGATAGGAGACGGCCGTGGTACATCAAGCAACGTCGCCGAGTTGGTGAATTAAAACATTGCATAATGGCTACACGTACAAGTTTCGCTCGGGCGATTTCAAAAATGGCGTCGGCAGTGACGACCAGTAAGTTTTTCGTGACCGTCTCCGCCCGATAAATAATTCTGTCGGTGGTTTTGACAAAAACTCACCTCATGGCGTCCGGCCGCCGCGGCGCGCGCCCTTCTCTCGCTCGCACCACCGCCACTTTTTCTGCCCATTCCTCGGCGCCAGCGCAAACGAACCGCACATATCCATCAGTTAAACCCTAACTATTTACACAACTACCACCTAAATAATTACTACTTATATTTATGGCAATTTGTTTAACTTCACCGACTATTTAAAACTGCAGGAACACGATCACGTTTACACTATACTTATGCGAGAGTATTGAAGGATTGGCGCGGAAGGTTATTCTGTTTCACACATTGAGTCCGATATTAGAATAGCGGATAATTAATTTAACTTACGACTCATTACTTAGCTTTATGGGTACGAGACCGAGTCTCTTTGGTAGGTATATTAAGTAAATTTGTACAATATAGTTCGTCTCGCCGACGCTGCCGAGCCGGGGGCGCTACGGGCACATAACGTAAAATGCACTACGATACACCTACACACTATGTTACACGGAAGAGATTCCTACAAATTGCACTGGTTTCCGAACGCCTTCGACGATAGCGAAATTAAAATATATAAAAAAAAATCAATATATAAAACAACAAAAACAAAACCCGGAACACAAAAATAATACGACCCGTTTCTTGTCTAGCATGTAACAGTTTATTCTTTTAGTTCGTATGAATCAATTTAAAACATTGTGTCTAGGTTAAAATTAATTTAAAAAATAATCACAACAACCGAACAACACTTAGATAACGAAAATAATTACAAACAATTTACAAAACACAAGCTAGAGATTGTTCGGCGTACGATCGTTTAGCGAGGCACGCGGCCCTAATGTTCAGGATGCCCTTGCGCAGCGGCCGCCGCCGCCGCCGCTGCCGCCGCAGCTTTCTGCGCCTGCGCTTGCTTCTCCTGCTCATTCAATTCTTTTATGGCTTGTATTTCTTTCTTTAATTTCATCCTTCTGTTCTGGAACCATATTTTGATCTGTCGCTCCGTCAGACAGAGCGCGTGCGCCATTTCAATGCGTCTCCTCCGCGTGAGGTAGTGGTTCGTGTGGAATTCTTTCTCTAACTCTAATGTTTGATATCTAGTGTACGTTTGTCTGCCTCGTCTTCTGAGACCGTTCGCTCCTGTAACAAAAGAAAGTCATATGTTAAAAATCTATTGCAAACTGTTTTTAAAAGTCTGATGCTGAATTTATTAGAAACAAAATACGAGCATAGTTAGCTAGAATATCAAAAGTAACTTTAAAAGGTCATCGACACAGATGAGTCTCGAGTGCATTTATAAGAGTATATGTAAGTAGAATCTGAGCATTTGAATGGGACGACCTGTCCCGCGGCTCAGTTCAAGTGACGTTACAATTGGCAATGACGACAGCTTCATTTCGTTCAAACGTCGATATTGATGTATAGCCAGCACGCAATCTTTGCTGCCGACCGCTCAATACGGCCCGATTAAGAAACTTGAAAAACCATAGCTAACGAATCTGTTGCATATTAATGAGACTAAATTTAATTAGGTATGAAGAAAGATAAGCAATCAAGAGTCGGGATTCGCAGACATTACCCACAGTGTAACTAATCTTTTTAAAATATTCGCTTGTTTTTGGTGAGGTTATTTTGTTTATATTTAAATTTGTTACTTTTACAATTGTATTTTAACGACCTTCTATGTCAATTCCTAAAATGTTTATTTAATTTAGGTAGGTATTTACATTTAAAAATACAGATCACATTCCGGTCATAATTCACAGCAAATATGAAAACTCAAATTAGAAGATATAAATAATTTTAAATAAAATTACTGAAATAAATAAATCAGAATCACGGCTAAATAACATCAATATCACAAAAAATATATATCTCTGGGATCTATATACTATGTGTATTTGATTTCGTACATGTTGAATTATCGTGAGTAAAATTCCGTATAAGTAATAATGAATGTGGTCCACTCCCTTTTGAATGCTTTTGAATTGGTTACCGAGAACTCGATGGACCTGATAAATGAACGCGAATGCGCTACTCGCGAAAATTTGGCCCATGTAACACTAGGGTTGTCTTATATTTTATTGAATATTAATGCGAAAACTTTGATATCGAAAGTAATAACTATTTAATAAAAAAAAAAACATTAGGTATATTATATTATTTATTTTAATTAAAACATTATATTCGATGCCACAAAATCGAATTATTTAAGAATTAAATTGAATTGCTCTTATGAATTATTTTGTTGCCGTAAAGGAAACGTGTCTTAAAAATGCTTTAATTAAAGTACGTAAGGTCTCCTGTACAACATTCTTTAAATATAAAAGCCGTTGAAAATGCAGAAAAGTGTGTAATCGTCAAATTTTTATGGCGACTCAAGTGCTGCGGTGTGCGATGACAGAATTCTCAGCGAAATCAAAATTTATAAACGATTCTGGAAAGTAAAAAAAGGAATGCGGCGAAATTCCTTGGTAGAAGGCAAAGATTCTGGGTATTTGGAAACTTCAGAAGAATTTCTTTATCAACCGAGTTAGTTTTGGAATAAGCGAGCTGACAATTATAAAAAAAATATTGGATATATTATAATATTCTTTAGCCAATTACCCTACATATTGATTAATCTGTTTGCTTTTGTTTGGTTGGAACACCAAACAAAAACTACTATAGAATAAGATGACTATTACAACTAGATAATACTTTTACATCAATAGATCGAAGCGTTAAAAAATATTTTACTTTTGTTTAATAAACATATATTTTTGTTTTACTTAAAAAGTTGAAAATATATTAAACAAAATGTCTAAAATCTATTTTATTTAATTACACATCAAACAGATAACAGAAGTGGGGAAACCGACTTAAAAAAAAACTATTAGAAAGTTTTAAATGTCCTAGTTCTGTTGAAAAAAATCTTAAAAATTTTAAACCAACTCGACTTTGCAATCATTGCAAGAAACAAAATTTTAAATATTGTTTGTTCATGCAAATCAAACCATTTTTGTAATGTATAGATAATGACATATATTTTAGCAGCCCTACATGGCACTGAGCCGCGGGGCTGTATGTACACTTCATTGCATGCCGCGTCGTTGCGTGCTCTTTAATGTATAGTATTTCGGAGGTTCGATGCTTTTTTTTGTAATCGAAAAATACGCCTTCAATAAGTAGGCACCAACGTTGCACACGCGAATTAAAAAATCTCTTCAACATACGGAGCGTTTGATGACCCTTTTACCAAAAAGTATATATGTTTTTGCCACCCAATAACGCCCAGTGCATTTGAAAGCTCAAGGGCAAAAAATCGACCAAAGCGATTAAAGTTACAGGTCCTACGTTCTTACTGGTCAATCGATGGCAGAACTGCGTATCGTTTTCTGTTTGATTGTTAGTATTCGAGAATTCAAAATCAGTGGACGTTGTCAGACGATTAGTTTTAAAAAAAAAATTTTTTTATTCTGATAAATGTCATATACAATAAAATAAAAATATTACGGACCAAAAGTTGTCGTTGAAATTAGAAAAAAAATTACACATTCCAATAAACAACAACGTAAAAAACAATAAACATGTTTGTAGACTAAATACTTATTGCTCTTACGACCACATGTTTAAAATTGAATCACCCACTCAAGCGCACTTGATCAACACATTGCCCCCACAAAGCAAAACCGACATAAAAATAAAACAAGAGAATCAAACTTCGGACCGCGCGGCCTCTTCACACGGAGTGTTACCATACCATTTAATGCCTTCATTAGTTCAAGCACTGAGATTGGTTTTTAAGTTTTTAGATAAACATTTATGTGTAAATTGGTTCTTTTCATTTATGAATCAATAAGATAGGTCGTTCATTGGCAATAGAAATGTTGATACGTACTTAAAACTGTTAAAGGTTGAGCAGAAACATTTAAAATATGATGTTTTTTTAAATAATGACCAAATAAACTGTTTTTAATAACTGTTTATTTGGACATTATTTAAAAAAAACACATCGTGTTCTTGAAGTTTCTAGATCATTTATATTATTTCTTTGAACAAAACCAATTCTAAATTGTGAGTTTTGGTATATACCTTGGTCGCGTATACTAATCGATGTTTATCGTCATTCAAATAGTTATGGTTGTCTACCACATAAATAACGTTATGAAGCACATTTTCAGCATATAAAGCTTTCCCATTACAAGTTCTTTCGTTCCCAGGGTAACACAGAAAATTATGTCTTTAAAAAATCTCCAGTACAAGTTAACTATATCCTTGGTCACTAATTTAAATTACCCAGTGCCTTAAGTGCAACCTTTTTAATTATTAACAAAAATTCTTGAGCCCCTACTAGTGGTTAATTGAGTGATACTAATTGCGAAAGCCGAGAGAGCCTCCGAATAAATATTGGGGACCTTTCTTTCTACCGCGTTGTTTAGATTAGGCCTTAGGAGTATTTATGTTGATTACTTGTGAATTCAACGATAGCACTTAATCTTATTAAATAATAAGAAAAAGCATTTGTATATGGTTCATATAAATACATATATTGGAAATAATTATGGTTTGGTCTTAAATTATAAGAGCTTTAAGTCTTGGTATTTATAATTAATAAGACTTTTTCTTTGTTGCTATTGTTTATTTTTCTGTTGTTGTGTTTTCAGTATGATACTTTCTTTGAATCTTTTATTAAATTTATGTCAAAGATCTACCGCAAACATAACTAACTTAGTGCTGTACAATTCAAATATTTATGATAAGAACAAACCTTGTATAAAACTTTTGTGAGCAAAATTATCACTAAATATAGCTGGAGTTCTTTTACATTTCTTATTAAATATAAATACGTCCAGTATCAAACATTTAAATGTTGGATGTAAGTTCTAAGTTATTGAAATTATTAAAAGTTTAAAATGAGGAGGCTTGTGTTCTGTTTTATTAACATTATTTTTAATTATTGTCGGTACAAAAATATAGTTTTCCTTTCCATGTTAACCAAGCTCAGTATGTTCGAACACTACACGTGTCATTAATTTTCCATACAATGTCTGCGTCAATTTGCTCCTTATAAATTCACCTCAAAATCTCGAGTGCACCATAAAAGCAATAAACATGACACAAATGGCTTCATTAAGAACAGAGGCGGAGTTTGTGGTGTAGCAAAAAAAAACGTGTATAGTGTGACCCGAGCCCCTAATAGGTATATAATGACACAAACGTTTCCGCACAGATCTGGGAAATGACATCTGCGTATACGCATTTCGTTTGGTACCCTAAGAGCGTGACGACCCTGTGTTTCCGTTGCAGATGATGAGTTAGATGCAAAAACGACACTTGGGCGTAATTCGTGGTGAAATATGAAAATTTAACGTCGTGCTTTTTCACAAAGTGCCTACTTACAGTAGCTGTCGAAAGATTATTTTATTTTTTTGTGCTTTTTTCTTCACACATTTCTTTATTTATTATATATCTAAGCAATAAATATCTGGAACCATAGAAATATGATATATGCTTTCTCACAGTCCCTATAATTATTGTGATTATAAAAATGGTCCTCCACGACCGCGAACAACGCCTAAACTGCCGGAGATGTCCGGAGAAACCACAATTTTTTAGTCTGTAAAACGACAAATACAACAGCAGTAATCCGAGCCGTGAAATTTGACTTCAAAAGAAATAAGACAAAGATCGTATCCCTGGAACTCTGCACAAAGATTCCGCGCGTACAAGTGTCACCAACCCGTTCGGCAACATGTGTTGGTAACAAAAGATTCTTACCTCACACCCCCACCCCTCACTCCACATCGACGACAAAAGGATTGCGCAAGTTATTAGTCGTAAAGAATTTGAGACTGTGATCTATAGCTTGTAAACCACCCCTAAATCTTAATGGTCCCGCAATTGCGGAGGACATTCGAAACAACTGTTGTTTGGCTCGAAACGTTTTAATTGTCACTAATTCGTAAAACTTTTCCACGTGATTTACAACTGTTGCTTTATCGGTTGCCGTTTTTAAAGGATGTGGCGCGAAGGAAGTGGATGTTGACACTCGTACATCTTCGTAACGATTTTAAAAGTTTTTGTGGTTCCATCTGGTTCAATACTAGAACGAGTTATTTTAGCGTAGGCGATGAGTTAATCACTGCGAGCGTATTTCGTGGAAGGGTTGCATTAAACGGATGACATCGCTATGCCTACGCGCTCAATTTTCATCGATAAAATTATGTAAAGTAGATATTTGCGCGCTGGCTTTAATGAGGCAAATTAAGATAACAGACAATGTTTCACAACGTGCTCGGCCGACCATTAGATTAGACATGTCTAGGCATCTAGACTAGTCTAGACGACAGCCTCACATTAAAATGTCTAAGACATACAATTTTCCAATTATATGACCTAATTTGCGTAGATTAT